CTCTATGCATTCTCCTTCTTTCTCGTCTCACATCTCTTCCCTCAAGAGTGAGGGTTAAGGTGAAATGTTCAGCGTGTTGTGGTAGAAAGAGCAGCAACCACGCCAGGTGTAAATGGTTTCTGCCTTGACCACTTGAACAGCTGACTGCTCTGCAGAGCTGCTGCAGAGTTTCTTTAGAATGTTTCCAGACATCTTTACTCTTTCTGTTACAGCTTTACTTCATAGATCAAAATGAATTAAATCTGGAGTTTTAGACAAATAATAATGCCAAATTGGATTATTTTCATCTTGACCACTTTACAAATGAACATATATTAAATTGGCAGCTGAACATGAGAATACAGATTTTAAGCAAGTGATTGAGCAAATGTCTTCCTATAGAACTTGCAATTAGCATTTTATTGTTTGTGATAAACATTATAGATATTTGTGATGTGACCTACTCTGTTTAAATGTTTTCATGGTTCAGATCCAGAGAGAGGGGAGAGACAGGACAAAAACAAGGAGAAGAAAAATATATAGTAATGATTTTCCTGAATTGCAAGCCCTCTGCTTTAAAAGTCTCCCATGTGGATTTGATAACAATTGCTACACTGGCAGCATCAGCAGACTTCTGGCATTCTGGCACTACTGTGAAAAAGCAAGTGGAAATCAGAGATATGAAATGTAATTTCCATATTTAATCATCTAAATTTGACTCCTTCACTGTGAATGCGATGTGGGTGTGCGTGCATTTGTGTGTTTATGGATTTAAATGAAGACAGGAAAGTCTAGCTTCAGGGGATTTTTTTTTATTCCTTTCTCCAACCTGTCAGCTACTTGTTGCCATGGCAGCGTTATGTCAGAAGAGTACATCGGTGTGCGTGTTTGTGTGTGTGTGTGTGCGTGTGTTTAATGATGCTGATGGATGCGTCTGAAGGGGCCAGATGTGGCCACTGTCATTTCCCCGAAACACACATATATACACACATGTACAGTACTAGCACTTTAATACAAAATATAGGTCACAATGGAATTATAGTGATCGGGTTTGGAACCGCGCTATTGAGGTCCTGCCTATACACTTCAGCCGAATCATCGAGCAGGCCTCAGCATGATGATGCGAACACTCTCTTTATAACACCAAACAATTAATCAATCCCAAACTTATCAGAAAACACTTGAAGAAACATCAGCGTGATAAGAATTTCCTAAAATGACAGAGACCGTCTTTGGGAAAAATGTATTTGATTTGTACTTACTTTATTAACATGGAGGGGACGGGGGTTGATGACATATACTGCTGCTAACCACAGAGGTAGAGAGGTTTAGGCTTCACTTTTGGAGAGCTGTCATGTCATCTATCTTTATAGACGGTGTCTATGGCGTAAACCTTGGCTAATGAAACTGCATCTCTGTAGGGCTCAATACCACAAGAGGTCACTGAGCAAAAAAAACAGTATCTACAGAGAGAGAAAGATACTTTAGGGGAAGTGACCCTTGAGAGCGAGAAGAGCCGTCTGAACATTAGATGAAAAGATTTATACCGTCTTATGTCTCAGCCTTAACTGTGAAGTTAGAGGCAGGAGTTGATTATCTTAATGTAGCATAGCATAAAGACTCCAAAATATGCCTAACAAGACCTTCAAAGCTCACTAATTACCACATACCTCGTTTGTTTAATTCACACCGAAATGTAGAAACATCACTTTGTGGCTTTATGGGGAGATACGTGCTGTAACTATTAAGTCATTGCGCCTGGCCGTCAAGAAATAGTTACAGCACAGAACTCTCCATCTAATCTCAACTTGTTGGCATGAGAGTGGCATCAATCCTCTTATCTAACTCTCTGCAAGGAAGCTAATAAGTTTGTTTCCCAAAACGCCAAACTATTGCTTTAACACAGTCTTTCTTTCTTCTGCTGCTCCAACGTTATCAAATATGTTGAATATCAGTATAAATAAATAAAAACACGTCAAGTTAGAAATTGTCACATTTCTTTTTTTTTTTCATTTCATTTTTACTTAAGCCTAGTAGCTACTTAACAATAGCTATATTTCAGCTGCAGTCGTCTCTTCTTTTCTCACTCTCTGTTGTGTCTGTGTGGTCTGTTGTTTGTGTGCAGGATTATACAAGACCTCTGTAATTCTAGAGAAGGTGTAGTGACATTTTATGGTTGCTATGTGACATTTCTGTCTTTTGTTTCTGTTGTCTTATGCTGACCAGTAAATTGCTTTTAACTGTCATTGTGATATGAACATGCGGAATAATAACATCACAAAAACAATTACCTTCCAAGTTGAAGTCAACAGGGTCCCATCCTTACTGTACACAGCTTGGACGGTTTCCCACTTCCCCCTCCTGAGATGGCGGACAGTTCTCCAAAAGCACTTTGGTGCCGACCGAAAGTCCTTCTCCATGTCTTCTCCGAACTTCTCCCACACCCGCTGCTTCGCATCTGCCACAGCAGAGGCTGCAGCCCTTCGGGCCCGTCGGTCCCTTGCAGCCGCCACCTGAGTCCTCCGCGACAACAAATCCTGGAAGGCCTCATTCTTCAGTCGGATGGCTTCCCTGACCACCGGTGTCCGAGGGTTACCGTCCCTTGAGGCACCTAAGACCTTGAGACCACAGCCTCCCGCTGTGGCTTCAGCAATAGAGGCTTTGAACATTGCCCACTCATATTCAATGTCCCCAACCTCCACAGGGATGCCAGAAAAGCTCCGCCGGAGGTTTGAGTTGAAGATTTCACGGACAGGGGCCGCCTCCAGACGTTCCCTGTTCACCCGCACTACCCGTTTGGGCTTACCGGGTCTGTCCAGAGTCTTCCCCACCCCCTGACCCAACTCACCACCAGATGGTGATCAGTTGACAGCTCCGCCCCTCTCTTCACCCGAGTGTCTGAAACATGTGGCCTCAAATCAGATGAAACGATTACAAAATCGATCATCGATCTTCGACCTAGGGTGCTCTGGTACCACGTACACTTATGAGCATCCTTATGTTCAAACATGGTGTTCGTTATAGACAATCCATGACTAGCACAGAAGTCTATCAACAAACACCCACTCGGGTTCAGATCAGGAAGGCCGTTGGGTGTGTTGGGTGTGGGCTAAAGAATATAATATTTATTTTTATACTGCAGCAGCCTCTGCCCTGCTGTCTGTGTTGTGGCTGATCTCCTCCACACACACACACACACACACACACACACCACACACACACACACACACACACACACACACACACACACACACACACACACAGTTGTGTTTCCATTACTTTTGCGGATGTTACATTCACTTACTTTCATTCCCTGAATTCTTGGTTGTTGATTGTTGTGTAAATGCCCTCTAATGGTTGACATCTGTATTTTAAACAAGCTGTAATGTTTAAATTGTGTTGTTTTCATTTTTACATCAGAAAAAAACAGCCAAACAGCAGACTGAGCCTCGTTTCAACTGTGCCCAGAAGCCACAGTATTGCAAAAAGAAATGAAACAACTGTTACTCATACACACTGTATATTTGACTAGTCTTATAAATATAATGCAGCTGGCTGTTGCTGAACCAGTGAACTTACTAGACATTTTTATCCATGTCCACATTTACACAGGTTCAACTGCAGCTGCCAAGCCAGGCAGCAATATGACAAAATGTAATAGATTTTTAGTTTAAAGATGGTGAAACAAGTGCGCTATCTCTCTCTCTCACACACATGTGCACACACACACACACACAGGCACACGTAGACACACACACACACACCAAGTAATGTAAAGCCAGTACCTGTTAAGTCATGTATGACCAGTTACAGTTAAACCATCTGCTCTGACCTCATTAGAACCATTGTCTTTACTGTATGCTGTTAAAAAAAAAAAAACACCCACCCACGAAGCATCCAATGATGTATTTCAATTATCCAGTAAGTCTTTGCTCTGCACAGATAACATGGATGTGCATTTATTTGCATCTTTACAAAGTGGTAGTTGGACAGAACGGTAAAACTCAGCTGCACAAGGTTTTAGTCATACTTTGACTTACTAATAATGACATGTATTAACGGTTTTATTTTTTTCCCCTGACATCAAACCAAATTTACATTATTAGTCAGTCAATTAACACATGTTCATGCTTACAAACAAATATATACAGCAGTTCAACTTGTCTGCAGTTATCATGGCGAGTTTATTTTGTACACACATGCAACACAGTGTATGGCAATACACGTGAAGGAACTGTATGTATATACATTAATATATTTCATAAATTAAAGCATACACACATCCTGTCAGTAGATGTAAATGCAGGTAGTGTGACATGCAGTCATGAATAAACAATTCACAAACATTTTATTTATCAAAACATCCGTACTAAATGAAAGTCTTATGAGCACTGAAGATAGAAGAATTAATAATTTCCTTTTATTGTGACTGACAAATTGTGCAAGTCGTCATGCTGTTCATATTCTTTTACATTGTTCATGTGAAAAGCTCAGCCTTGTTCAAACACACAAATACACTTAATAGAATTCATGCTCTGCGCTCCCACCCCAAACAATTCACAGGAGAAATGTATACAGAATATGAGACATGCACACATGCATTAACAATGCACACACACACGCACATAGAGTGCAAAGATAAAGTGTGATTTTCATGTGCTGTTTGACCATCTGCCCTCATGAGCAGCACACATTTCTAAATTGTACAGGTATATTAAAGGCTCTATGTGAAGCATTTTCAACATCCATAAATTATTACTGCATTGAAATCATTTTGAGACACTTAGGTAATTAGTAGACTCTCTGTCTCAGTATCACCCTCAGAATTTTACATTGGGCGGGAGATCTGCTACATCGCTTTTTAATACAAAACAGCAAGAGGTTGCAGTTAAAACACCAGACTTTCTGGTGACAGCAGATGAAAAATAAATTTTTTTTATAACAAGCTTTCAGGGAGTTTGACGTTTTCAGATCAGCAGTCCCAACATGTTTGTCTCTTCATTTTTCTCTCTCATATACAGGTACCCTGAACCAGCGCATCTGGGGTAAGAAGTACCCGTCCTGTAACAGCGCCAGGCAGTCTCCTGTGGACATCGACGAGATGTTTACCCAAGTAAGGCTGCAGTACCAGAATCTACAGCTCGAAGGCTGGGACATACTAACGGCAGAGTCCAGCACCATCCACAACAACGGGAAGACTGGTATGTTAATGTCTACTTCTCTTTATGTACCTTTCCTGCACAGCCTGGTTTACTTATCTGAGAAATAAATCTTAACAATCCATACAAATTCAGAGTGTAATTTGCCATGACCAAAACCCAAAAGTCCAGTAGAAGCTGTGGAGGCCATGTTTGAAATATCATCATGTAGGAAACAACACAAGCTGTTTCACTTATGATAAAGATGATAGCATATAGGGTTTTTTTTCTTTTCTTTTCAGTCTCAGCTAAGTGCATATTAAAGCAGCAACCAGAAGAGGAAGATACAGTATGCAGTAGATTAATTCTATAGAAATGATTATGATATTATTCTGGTGGTCTAAAACATGACATCTTAATCCCTAGATGTGGAAAGAAGCTTAATTTTCAAGAAGCAGGGGAAAAAAGATTCACAACTCAGTGGTTAATGAGAGTAAGAAGCAGTGAGGATTTAACAGAGAAAGAGTCAGACAATGAAAGAGAAGGGAGAGGAGAGACCAAGTCATTGCGAGAGAGACAACCAGAGGGACAGCAGTACAGAGAGATCATGTGGAGAAAGAAGGAAGATCGATGTCGAGAGGCACAGATGATGAGCAACAGAAAAGAGGCAACAAAAGAGCAATAGGAGCAAATGTATGTAGAGATCAGGGGAGAAAAATGAAGAAGATGGAGAGACAGTGAGAGGAAAGGCAGCGTGTGGAGAGATGCCTGGCCTGATAAACAAATGAAAGCTGTCTGAGCTATCATCACCATCTCTCCAATGCAGCCTGGCCTGTGTATGTGTGTGTGTGCGCCCTCTGTACCGTAAATGTCCTAAAATTAATCTCTTTTTGTCTCTGTGAAGTCAGAGAGGAAATTGCATATTTAAACAGATATTGCATAGCTGTCGTGATATTATGAGAGAAATATATGGCCTGCACAGTCTCACTAAACAGAATGTTATATCCTGTTATGGGTTATCCTGCATCACAATTTTTCTGTCCGCTTTGATATGAGAAGGATCAAGTTAACAGTGAATATATAATGTGGAAAGAGTTGTAGAATTCATAGATAATTATAACCCGACTCTGCAGTTCCCTTATTCTCTATGGGGTGTTTTAGTGTCTTTCAGCATTGTTTGCATTTTGGGGTCCACAACTTTACTGTTTTGGTAGACACTGTTTGTAGACACAGCAGGCATTTTTATTCAAATACGCTCAAAAACCCATTATATGCTATTGCCCAACACTAAATGACAGACAGACAAAGTTGAACAAAGGTGAACATTTGAACATAGTGGAGCCAAAGAGCCAAATGTTTCCTGCCAGAGTTGGTGGAGACCAAATCAGAGCTAAAAGGAGGCTGGAAACATGGCTCTGAATATGGTAATAATATCATATTAAGTAAATTTTGTGTTTACAGGTTGTCTTTTGTTTGCTCTCGAGTTTCCAACTAATCAGTTATTGCAAGTTCTAATTATCACTGAGATGACAAATGTCGAAGACCAAAATACATTTCAGACAGACCAGAATATCCACATTTAATGAAAGAAGACATTAACATAACCAAGTGGTAGCAACCATCCACTGTTGTGTCCTTTTCACCGTGGAGAAACATGGACTTTGGTCTTTCATGGACTTTGATATCATTAAAGAAATGTTTTGAGGCTAAAGGTTTTCACTTGCTACCATCTTGCTAGCTGCTTAGACCCAAAGCTTTGGAGCCTGGTGGCCAAACAGCAACCACCCCAACTGAGTATCAGCGACTTGAAAGTCTTGTCAATCAAGCAAAGCCCTCAAACATAACTCTGATTAAGCCTTTTGTAGGAAACGTTTGACTCTGAATCTCTTGGTAAAACACCCTCAAGTGGCAAGCATTCAACCTTAAAGGGTCCCGCATGGTCCTTTCACTTCAGTGAAACACTTGCATATCCCGTTTCTGCTTTTTAACAACAAGGTGGTTTACATAAATTAAATTTTAGTGCATGTGTGTGTTTTAGTGGCCATCAGTGTGGAGGGAGAGTTTTTTGTGAGTGGAGGAGGGCTGAGCTCCAGATTCCGTGTTGGTAGAATCACCTTTCACTGGGGCCGCTGCAATGCAACATCAGATGGGTCTGAGCACAGCCTGAATGCGATGAAATACCCTCTGGAGGTACAGAAACACACAGCGTCTGTTTGTCAGTCTATCAACACATTTATTGTTCATACATTTGTCAACCAATGAAGCCTGAGTTCAGCTAACCTACCTGTTTCATGCTCTTGTTCAGATGCAGATCTATTGTTATGATCCAGACGACTTCCATAGTCTGGATGATGCTATTAGGGAAGGAGGGAGGATCGCTGCCTTGGCTGTGCTATTTGAGGTGGGTCGACCTGTTGATTTGTGCCCCAGAGTAAGAGATCAGCCTGTTCCACCTTAAATAACTAAACATAAAGTGATTAAAATAAAAGCATATTTGCCTATCATGAATTCCACAATAGAAGTTCTTATTCTTTTCCACAGGTCAGCTTGGAAGACAACGAGAACTTGAGTCCTGTTATAGAGGCCATCAACACTGTCAGCAGGTTTGGTAGGTCACTTCTTCAACATTGGGTCAAAAGGAATAAATCTCCTCTATAAAGAAAGTAGCTGGGTGCAGTGGTAACACAATTATCCCTTCTAATGGGGAACTAATTCCCCATTTTGGCAAAGATAAACTCTGCTGTATGTATGAGCAATACAGGGATGCTATACTGTACTTTACTCTGACATGTGACCTGGAGTGATACTTGCTTTACACTGAGCATAAAGATGGCACATTATTAAGAGAAAATATGTGTTTCATCAAGAATCAAAGCAGCAGAATAATGGTGTCCCTGAAAAAAAGAAAACCAAAAATGTGATGTTTGAGTTGAGTTTTTTTCATTTTTACTCACCTTTAGAGTCTGAGACAGTGTAGTCTAATCCATTAACGACCATTAATTAAATTAAATTTCATTGAAGCAAAACTAAGTGGTGGATTTAATTTTTACTAAACAAGCAGTGAGAGAACACTTAGAACACAAAAATGAAATTACAGGTCACTGATTGGCTTTTAATGAATATAATGATGCATATCATAGACTGAACATACAGTCTGACTATTTTAAAATACTTGTTTGCAGTCCCAGCTTGAGATAAAACCCTTGCTATTTGTTGCGACATGTTGTTACTGACAGAGCTTTTTTGTTTGCCAGGTAAGAGCGGGTCGATGGAAGCTTTCAACTTGCGGTCCTTGCTGCCTAATAACACAGATAAATATTACATCTATAATGGCTCACTAACTGCACCTCCCTGCTCTGAAATGGTGGAATGGATCGTCTTTAAACATACTGTGGCCATATCAGAAACACAGGTCAGTAGGTTTTTATCATACACACAAAGATGTAGACTGCCACTAACGAGTGCTCTGAACATCTGAACTCTTTTCAGTGGGAGGCGGACCTCGCCAGGGGGGCTCTGAACAGCTTCAGGGGATGCTCAGTCAATGGACTGTCTTTCCCAGAATCAGAAGCTAATAAATACCTTAGGGCAGACCTTTTTATATATTTGGAGTAGTCAATTATTGAGTGCTTATTAAGATAATCATAACATGATAATGATCCCATCGGTATCCAGGATATGAGCAAAACTAAGCTTTGTCTGAAGGAAGGCCCACAGTCTTAGACTTTGAAAACCCTTGTCTTGACTTCTAGAATAATGTTTAGTCCTGGAATAAAGAGTCACCTTTAGTAACACTGGTTCTTATTCACTCTTTTAACCTTTAAGCATTAGCATCATACTCAAGCACAGCTGTCAGTCATAAAGAAAAAAGCTTCTTTTCAAATTAATGACATGATTATGGAAAAGTCAATTTACATTGCGTTAGTATTCAGTTGAGAAAGTTGGCCTCCTTAAAATGGACAAAGTTAACATCACTGTACTGTCTGGTTGCAGTTTGTGGCTGGTTTCAGGTCAGCTGTCTTTGACATCTGTGCACAAAATAAAAACAAAATGTCACATTGAAGCGATGCAGTGTGACAGGTTTAGTCAAAATGGGATCTTATGGAATAAGGTTTCTGTAGTGGCATGATCTGGTAAAAATGGCCTGTCATGCAACACAAGCTGTAACATTACAGCAGCTTGATTCCAGGCTGAAGATGTTTAAGGACCGCTGATGAAATCATCTGTGTAATGATCATCAATTATATAGCAAAGTAATGGAGAGTGAATGAGGTCATGAAAGTGGTTATGAGTGTATTCTGTGTGTGTGTGTGTGTGTGTGTGTGTGCTTGTGTTTGTCTATGTTTGTATGATTGAAACGGGGGTGGCAAGGCATGACACAGGCACATTGGAGCTAACCAAAAATAGAGCAGCGCTGTCTCTCTGCCCCCGCCTGGCACCAACACAACTCTCTTAAACAAACACACACTCACAAGCATCAGTGTCAGGTTTATTTTGGCAACTGTACAGAAACAGGGAAGATGCAACAGACGCATCCTTCTTGTCTTTGTTTTTCAGTTTCTACTTTCTTTCTGTTCACCCATTCTGTCTCATCTCTCTGTTTCTCTCTCCCTGTGCCCAGTTGGAGATGTTTTGTGAGGTGATGACGATGGAGCAGGCTGGATACGTGATGCTGACGGATTACCTGCAGAACAACTTCAGGAGCAGCAGCAGCAGTTCATGGGTCAGGTGTTTGCCTCGTATACCGGAGTGGAAGACGTGCTCACGCCCAGTACGTCATCAGACACCCAAACAAACAAAAAAGATTAAAAAGATACATTTGTTAATGTTTATTTCCACTTTAAGTCAGTTCAGGTCATTTCATTTAAGTGTAGTTCACCTCCTTTTCCATTCAGTTACTTCGCTTTCATGCTAACATAACTTTTTTAAACCACAGGAGAACATACTGTACATAGCTGAGATGGATGAAGATGCAGTACTGTCTAAATGACAGGTTAATTTACCAAATGCTCTTGCTTGTCTGAATCCATGATATGTTGAATGGGTCTTCAGCAGTTGTCACCGCTGGAAGCTCGCTGAAGTAAACAGGGAATCACCACCTTGCACATGGGCACCTTGGTCATACCCACTGATTTGATGGCGTTTCTGCTTTATTTGTCACAGACTAGGTTTAAACACATGATGTTGTAGTGACATGGTACTGTTCACGCTAAAAGGAGGTCCATCACCAAGCTGGAACCTCCGGGTCTGAAAGTGAATCCAATGCGGAAGTGCCTGTGGTTATGACAAAATTACCCTGTTTGATTTATTACCTCAGTAAACACTTTCCTAATGAGTTTATGGTGTCAGTCGCTAGTTTTTGTTGTAAGCCACTTTACACAGATTCCATAATAGATGAGGAAAAAATGTCCGCCAATATGCCGCATTCGCTCATTCATACTGGACAAAATATTGCGAGATAAACCCGCAACCGTGTGTGTTTTCACATAGTGTTCCTGCTTTCCGGGTTACAGAGAGTGACCTCCTCTGAATCCGCCAATGCCGCAGCTGCCTGAGCTCATCCGGTCAATTTTCAAAATAAAATACCCTGTACAGACTCCGGATCGTTAAAACAGACAAAAAATAAACCTTTTAATTACTTAATCGTAGTAGAAGCACAAAAAGCAAACACTGAATACCATATCAAAAAATCTAAACATGTCAGCAAAATCAGGCAGGCAAATGCTCTGATTCTGAAATGCTTCCTGTGGATATGCAGCCCGCAGGCGACAGAACAAAACAGGGTCAGAGAGAGCTGTGAAGAAGTTTAACAGCACAATAATGACAAATTAACAAAAGTCAATGCTGAGGCACTTCCAGTGGACGTTGATGCTGGGGTGGGGACCTAACAAAACTGTGGCACAGTCGGATTCAGTGGACTTTCAGAGTTAGACCGTTAAAAAAAAGGCTGCGACTTGTAACACAACAGCGTTGAAACGTCACTCTTGTTCCTGCATGCCGGCTGTGGCGTAATAATCCCGGAAAATTGGGCAGTGTGAAAACGCCTGTAGTTTCGTCCACATATGGTCACTTCTATCTCCAAAAAAACCAAGATGGCGATGGCCAAAATGCAAAATTTGAAACTTCATACCACAAACCAATGGGTGACGTCGCGGTGGAGACATTCACTGTTTCTGTACAGTCTATGTCCAGCCCCCACATTTCATTGATTATAACTTATATAGTAATATCATAAAATATATAACCATGTTAATAACTGAATTAGTTTTTTTGGATTCAGAATTATGACAAATTAATTATTATATAAAATAAAGCTCAGAGGAATGTGAATGGAAAAAACTTAAATAATGGAAAAAACAAACAAACTGTGAATAGTATTTCCAAAGCATGAAGGTAAACCTGAAACCATAAGCATGAAACATAATAGAGGTGAAACAATAAGTTGCTTACACGGTTGACAGAATAATATCAGCAACTATTTAATACTGAATATCTTTGGGTTTAGATAAAAAACTGATTTTCATTCTCAGGTCATTTTGGTGCTGAGCCTGTTTTGTCTTGGCAGTGGGCTCAGTGCCCATAGGCCTTCTAACAACTTGATAGGTAGAGAACTGATAACTGTGTACATGCAGCTTTGGTTACAAGTTTCTTTTTTCATTTCACGGTATTATTTCTCCTTTTTACTGTTTTGGGTTCACATTCATGGTTCAGATATCATATTTACAGAATAAACATTTTACATTCCACTGCGCTTAATTTGATGCTGTACTTTTTAGTCTTTGGAGCTGAAAACTCTACCACTGTATCACATGCCTGCTCACACGTTTTAGTTACGGTATCAAACATATAATTTGTACGGTATTACCTTGAAACAAAAGAGAAATGTTTGGAATATAAGGGATCAGCATTGTAATATGGTACTTACCAATTTTGGCTTTAATGTAATTTTGAAGGTATTATGATAATAGTAGCTTGTAATATTGTGAAAACATCAACCTATATTATCTCGTTATTATCAGGTCACCCTTAATATTTAAGTTAAGATATAACCATTTTGTTGTTAAAAGTTTACCATTTTGTTACTAAAATAACTATAAATAACTATAATATTAAATAACTACTGATGACTGTATTACTAAATAGTTTTGGGTCTGTTTCCACATTTTTACGTTTTGTTTTTGGCTCCTTATTACCCAGTTTCAGTCTAATATTAACCAGATATACACATTCTTAATACCAAGTTATTACCTGGTTATTACATTGGTAATTACATGGCATTACTTAATTATTATCTCTTTATTATCAAACTATTACTGTGTTATTATTGAGCTGTAATGTAAAGTGCTACCAGTTTTAGTTTTAAAACAAGCCTGAAAGTGAGTTTGCACTGGGAGAGATCAGCTGAGACACTGGTACTGATCAACAGCCCTGTTAATGCCCAGCAGATACATCATGTTATGATTTCGTTCTATAACAAATTCTTCCTTATTAAGCTTTAAAGTGTTCACCGCAGAATCTCCACTTCCCCAAAGCTGTAAATCTTTTTACTTCCAACATATACTTTACTTCATCTAATTTATACCAAATTCTGGGCAGCATGGTGAAGAAAATTTAATCCCCCCTCTGGGATCTATACAGATATTATATTATTAATCTTATTTTTTTCCAGAAAATATTACCCATCTTCTGCTTCATCTGTAGTTGCATCGCTGTCCTCCAAGGTCAGCCCAGTCATGATCATCAAAAGATTGACGACGCTCTCCGTCTTCATAAAGTCGACCCTCAAGTAAAGTGGGTCTTTTTCGGTTGCCAGGGAGCTCAACTTTGTAGTTACGTGCCCCTGCTCCTCTCGGCGCAGGCAATTTATTTTTCAGCGCTTTTTGAAATTGAAATAAAGTATTCAGAAATTCAGAAAGGGTCTTTTTGCTTGTAACAAATTCATGCAGCCATACACACACATGCATGCACCTCCCACTCATTGCCACATTCCCCTCCTGAGCTGGGCTTTTTAAAATGTATTCCTGCTTTCTTCCATTCTCAATACAGTCGATTAACATCAAGTTACCTTCAGCAACACTCAGCTTAATGTGAAATGTTGCACTGTTTCTGTGCTGCTCAGATTTATGCGTCTAGTTGTGCCCTTGTCCTTTCATTTTTTTCAATTCAATTCAATTCAATTCAATTTTATTTATATAGCGCCAAATCACAACAACAGTTATCTCACAGCGCTTTTCATAAAAGAGCAGGTCTAGACCGTACTCTGTGATGATATTTACAGAAGCCCAACAGTTCCCACCAAGAGCAAGCACTAGGCGACAGAGGCAAGGAAAAACTTCCTTTTAAGAGGCAGAAACCTCGAGCAGAACCATGGCTCAGGGTGGGCGGCCATCTGCCTCGACCGGTTGGGGTGAGAGAGAGAGAGAGAGAGAGAGAGAGAGAAAGAGAGTGAAAGAGAGAGAGAGAGAAAGAGAGTGAAAGAGAGAGAGAGAGAGAAAGAAGAGAGAGAGAGAGAGAGAGAGGGATGTAAGGAGAGAGAGAGGGGAGGGAGGCAGCCTACACAATATACACACAGAGGTACAGACAGTGAAGGTAATGCTGCTATAAACTAAATGAAAAATGGTACAGATATTTATAATAGTGTTAATGGTAACCATCATAATGTTAATGATTATAATAACAATAATAACAATAAGACTAGCAACAATAGTCGTTGCAGCAGAGGGTGTCGAGCAGGAACACGGGGGCAGCAGGCGACCCGCAGCCACAGATCCAGACTCCACAGCTCCAGAGCCAGAAAACCTGCAGGAAGTGATAGGAGGAGAGAGGAGAGGGACGAGAAAGCACAAGACTACCAGAAAGGGGAGAAGTTGTGTTAGTAACATGCAATAATGGGATAAGGTTGCATACAGAAGGAGAGAAAGTAGAGGAGAGAGGAGCTCAGTGCATCATGGGAAATCCCCCGGCAGTCTAGGCCTATAGCAGCATAACTAAGGGATGGTTCAGGACTACCTGAGCCAGCCCTAACTATAAGCTTTATCAAAGAGGAAAGTCTTAAGCCTACTCTTAAATGTGGAGATGGTGTCTGCCTCCTGAACCCAAACTGGAACCTGGTTCCACAGGAGAGGAGCTTGATAGCTGAACGCTCTGGCTCCTAGTCTACTTTTGGAGACTCTAGGAACCACAAGTAACCCTGCATTCTGGGAGCGCAGTGCTCTGGTGGGGTAGTAAGGTACTATGAGCTCTTTAAGATAAGATGGTGCCTGACCATTAAGAGCTTTGTAGGTAAGAAGAATGATTTTAAATTCTATTCTGGATTTTACTGGAAGCCAATGCAAAGAAGCTAAAACAGGAGAAATGTGTCTCTTTCCTTCAGACGTTTTATTGAGTTTTTGCATTACATCCACATTAATTAATATTTCTTTTTTTTTTTTACCAAATTGCCCTCTTTTTCTCTTTCTGCCAATCTTCAGCCTGCAGCTCGGAGCCAGAGAACGTTCAGGCTGAGGCCCAGAACGACACAACCATCGTGGTGACGTGGGAGCGCCCCCGCGTGGTTTACGACACAACCATCGACTGGTACACCGTCACCTACCAGAGGCTGCAGGGCCGAGACCAGAGCAAGCAGGAGTACAGGACAGACGGGGACCAGGATGTGGTACGAAAGATCTCTCCACATAACAGAAAAACATCACCGTACAAACACCATGCATACAATCACCTTTGACTGCATGTAATTCCAACTAATGTTTTGGATCATTATCTACAGTCCACACAGGTGCATTTGACTTATAAATAGATAATAGTTTGAAATTACAGTCATTCCCTTTGCCCCTTTACTCTCCAGGAAATATTAGAAGATAATTTGTGTTGAATTCCATCAAGCACCTCATCCACACTCAGTCTCTATTTGTCACGCTCACATTGCGACTGCTATTGGGATCGGGATTGAACAAAGGGATCGATTGATTGATGGTGACGATCAATCTTACCCTCTTAACGGGTCACTGAGTGTCCCTCAATGTGACGAGCAATATCTGTGCATGTGTATTTATATGTCTTTGCATGTATGTAGACTCTCAGTCGTCAATACTACGTCAACCTAATACGAAAAAAATGAAGACTGTATGTTATGAAGAAATCATAACATACATTGTAGTGTAAAGCCCACCTTTTGTTTGTATACCTTATATGTATAAGGGCATAATTTGTTTTTTCTTTTTATATAGTTTTCCATTCTTATTTCAGTATTGTTTTCTGTCTGAGTTTGGTAGCTTTAATTAGTTTATATGTTTTTATATTTATTTTTTACGTGGTAGTTATTTTTTTAAAGGTACTTAATGTTGTTGTGAAGTATTACAACCAATATATATTGTTTGTTATATTTCTGCTTTACAGTACATCATATAGTGTTGGGTGTTAGTGAGGCTGACCAGTTGTAACATCTTAACACCACCTCCTGCGACTGAGAGTGCATGAAAACTAATTAGCAAACGAGCAGAGATATAGTTAATTAGTTTGAAACATTGAGTACTTCCAAGTGGTAGTAGTATGAATGCAAACTTGATCAAATCTACTGAAAAAAAACTAAACATCAACAATTCCAGGATCATTATTGTGACAATATCCTCTTTTATATAATTTGTAGTGTCAATAACATCCAGTTCAAAATGGATTTAAATGAGCGCATTTGTAGCATGGGGGATGGTGTTGATGAATGGATATATGAGCTTATCTGACAGGGTTGTGGGTGCATGTCGGATGGAAAAAAAGGTTGGGAACCGCTAATTTAAACTCACCTATGTGACTTTATAGGGTGCCATCATCTCCAGCCTGCTGGCCAACAGCAGCTATGTGGTTCAGGTGGTTGCTGTTTGCACCAATGGCCTCAGAGGACGATGGAGCGACCAGATTATAGTAGACATGCCGTTAGAAGACCCTGGTACAAACACACACACATACAAAACTCCTACAAAGTAAGAGTGTATTTGTACTATTACATTTACTGCAATGTAAGTGAGTTTCTGTTTCTTTCCCCTCTCTCTAGAAAGTGATTCAGATCCTGACGCTGTCACTAAAGATTTAGAAGACAACAGGGAGGTACGACGGTCTGCGAATCTGTGGTTGCGCCTGACACCACTGTGCATGTTGGCATTCACTGTGCTGAATTATTTTGCCGTGCTGAAGTTCACCCTGTGTTCAGTCATATCAGTGTCTCTAATTATTATGCAAATGATCGTAATTATGTCAGCAGAGGCTTGTCATTGAGTGTTTGGAGAGAAATAGAAAAGGTTAAAGGGACTTTCCAGCATGTTTAGGAGAGATCAACAGAAAAGAAAGAGAGATCCAGTACAGCCTGTGCTCTTCCACACTGCGTTATTGGAGATTACTCATATCTTTATTATCTGTTCATTTGAATGTTGACGAAGAACAAAATAATTGACCACTACTGTGCCTTTTGTACAATATTAATCTTCACACATTCAAGGAAAAAGCAGCAATAGTGTAAAAATATGTTTTGTTACTCAGAAAGCCTGTCCCTCATAATCACATACAGTATATAACCAAACATCTCGTGACACAGCTCCACACAGTAGTGCCTTTTTCCTTGTGGTAGGTCTCATCGAAAGCCAGATGGAAGAGCCAGAGAACCAGAATCAGGTGGATTTGTCTCCAGAGGACCACAGCCCCGTGGAGGAGATCCCAGTGGAGCAGACCAGGGTCTACCAGAACCATCCCCGAGACCAAACCCAAGAAAACCAGAACCTCCTGGTCCAGGTCAGCACCCGTTCAAGCCCGAAAACTCCCTCTGAGTCTGCCGTTCTACAGAAAACTCAACTCAACCAGAATGCCAAAAGGAAACCGGGCCGGAACAGGTCTAAAGCTGAAATGGATCAGAACTGGATTGACGAGGACCGGAGGATGCGAACAGACCGACCATTCACTAAAGCAGGCTTTGATGGCAATGGTGCAATATGGGTAACCGAGGTAACTGAGCGGCCGGGCTTCCTGTTTCCAGTTGCTCGGACAACTACCCTGCCGACAATCCGCCGACAAATCACAGAAGAAGCCTCGTTGTCAGTGTTGCCAAATCAGGTAGTTCACTAAACACATTGGCTCTTTTTCTCAGTGTTTTTGTTCCCTTCATCCTTGAACCCGAAGAAATGTTATACCCAATGTTGAAGCAAACAGCGCAAACACAAAATAGAAAGTTGCTTTTATTGTTTTTTTCCCCCACAATAATAGAATAGAATCATCATGTTCTTGTAGTTTCCTTATCTAAGAAACCCAATGTTTTTGTGCACTGCCTCTTCTACTTGCAGTTAAAGAATCATGGTCCACCAGACCAAGCTGGTGAAAGTGGCCTCCCTTCTCCCCAGTCAGACCTCTACAGCCCTCCTGTGGAGGACATCCAAGTTACAGACATCTTCTATGAAGACACAGTCTACAACTCTCCACTAGAAACCACCACCTCTGCTGAAACAGTCTCTGCTGCTGCGTTGCCAGGTCAGATTTGATTGGACGAGCTTCATCTTTTTTCGGCACTGTTGTTTACCAAAAACATCTAGGGTTGGTACTGCTACCGCAGCGCTTCATGCAGGGCCACGGAGGAATTTCAGCTCATAAATATTTAAATGGGTAGTAGCAGAAGACTTTTCATCCCCGGACGCTTGCCAGATTCTGCTCAAATTAACACTAGTATCGACACTGACATGTTTAGGTTTTGTGCTGACGTTTTATACATTAATTTTAAATTGACACCTATCTTGTTTAAATGTCTACATTTTATACATGTTAACAATAAATTATATGAACAGCTACTGCTGCTTAAGTTGAAATCATTACAGGAAATGGATGTTCAATGGCTGTTCACTTTTGATGTGTCTACTTTTGCCTGAAAAGCCCAGAAAAAAAGGCAAGATGGACTATTTAACTAGTATTCACTCTGATTTCTCTGGGATTATTCAGTAAAGGTTTTGTCAGTTTGTCTGTTTAAAATCTTAAAATGACTTAAATTGGTTTTCTTTATTTTTGGACTTATTATTACGTATTGTTTGAAAATGCAGTATTGTGGATCCTGCTTATCTGAATTTGTGGTGTCTTGTTAGCTGATGCGAGCTAAGCATAGTTGCTTATTGCATGACACAATAATAAAAACTTCATTCATTCATTCATATAACATATCATGTGATGTCTCATCACGTCACATGACATCCTACATTACATTACATCATGGCAAGTCAGATCATCTGTCATTGCATGTCATGTTGTGACATCATAGCATGGCTTGTCATGTGACATGTGGTAATGTCATGCTGGTTCGCGTTTGGTCCTCATGAAAAATCATATCACATCATGTCAGGTCATGTTGTGCCGTGTCACGACATGGCCTAACATGTCACGTCACGTCATTATGTACATTCTGTCCCACAGGTGATAAAGTGGACTCTGTCCCCCTGCTGTCCTCTGAAGACAGAGATGCCCCTGACAACAAACCTCTACCAGAAACGATTGCCTCAGTTTCGTCCACCCCATCCCCTCTTTGGATCACAGCAAGGGCGGCAACCGCCAGTAACACACTCGCTGAGTCAGTCTACAAGTCATTGACCACCTCCTCTCTTCTCATGGTACTGATGCATACAACCCAGCCCATGTTTAACGGTAAGATGAAACACTCAAGAGCCCCCTTTCTAAAAATATATATCATATACTATAACAAATATAACTTTTACTTCCAGTTAAAAGTGTATTTATTATATGAGGAATTTTACACAGCGGCAGCATGATATAAATAGAAGTATTTTTGTGGTGGGTAGGCAGCTGGACTTAATTGCCTGTCTTATCTAATAGCCTACTGCTGTTTGGCTAATCACTGCTGTGCTCTGTGATCTCGGTGGCATGTTGTATAGTGGCATGATGTAGACAATGCTGGTGGTGGTGGTAGTATTGAGGATGGTCGAAAAGAATGAGCTGCCTTTGATGATTGGAGGGATAATCAGCGGCAGCATCACTCTCTGAACTGGTTCACAAATTAAATATATGCTTGACTCTTCCTCAAATCTTGCAGCATGTTATAGCTCAAAGGGGGCCCTATTTTATCTACTTGAGTGGACTCAAGCTGAGTGATGAGCATCTACTTTTGGGACTCTTCTTCTTGGTCTGCATTCTTTTCTGTGGCTCAGTGGCACACTCTGGTGGTTGTTTTTTTCCTTCTGTCCTTCTCACCGAATGCAGGGTTCACTTCATCTTGAGGGTGCCTATTCAGTTCATTTTCACCAAGTTGATTTATGACATCTCTTTCATTCAGGAACTCACTAAATAACTTCAAATACCCAGCCGTCTTTTTGCATTATGTGTACGGTGTGGTCATCATGATGACAGACAACTCCTCCTTTGTTAAGTCAAGACTCTGTACTTATGTCTGAACTTTTCAACTTCAGTCAAACTTTCATGTGCATCATATCTTGGAAGTTCAGTTCTTACCTTTTCTTCCATCTTTCCTGGCACGAGAAACACATTTGGAAAGGTGACATTTCAATGCTTGTGGGTTTTTTTCAGACTTTTACTTTGGCTTTTCTTGCAGCAAATACACCCACGTCCAAGGTCGAGGACTCAGCCATCGAACAGTCCTCTGGCTTAATGAACTCTCCCAACACTCATAGTGGAGTGATTGAAAACCCAGTCTCTGTCCCAGAAGGGGAATTCTCTGCTGAAGGAGATTTATCCAGTGTCACACCTCAATCGCTCAAACCTTTTAATGAATACACCAGCAGTTTCCGCCCTTCTCCTGCCCTCCCTGAAGACAAGAGGAGTGGCTTTATTTTTAATCAGAACGACAAGTCCCCTGAAGAGTACTCTATTGTCCCTCTACAAATGGATTTAGAACGCTCTCAGATCACCACCACTTTGGGTTCTCAGGATCGCTTAATCACTGCATATTCCCTTTCTCTGCTGCCTGATGATGACTCGTGTACCATCAACTTATCAAAAACAAACACAGTTGAAGGAAATACCCCAAAAGCTTCTCATAATCAAATTGATGGTAGGATTCAGGATCATCTGAACATCTTGCCAGACCCCAATAATGAAAAGCAAGCCAGGACGGACAGGCATAAATCATCTTTCTTTGATTCTAAAGGTTTGACTTTGCCCCGTCCCTATAATTCAGAGGAATCCAACACAGACAGGGCAGCAGAGGGAAGTGGATCAGGCTATGGCCATTATAGCAACAGGCTCAATCAGGAATTTGATGCAGTCATGACTGACCTCTCTACAATTCCAAATTCAGTTATTAGCTTCAAGGTGGATAATACTGGAAAAAAGAGTAGATCAACAGGAATTAGGATGTATAGTGAAACAGATAATGATCCAGATGGGGCCCGACACAAAAAAAGTAGTAAGAAAGAGTTTGAAACAGCTGCAGAGACAGAAATGGAGGAGAATGAATATGAGCCAAGTGGGGAGGAAGAAGAAAAATAGATTCAGAAGGAGTCCGCGACTTTGGAATCAGAGAGTGAGGAAAGTGGATGGTGAAACAGATGAGAGTGCCCAACAGCTCAATAGCACAGAAGGCTGGGACACATTGAAAGAGGAAAAGAAAGAAACTGAGGTTGAGTCTGTAGTAGTAAAGACACTATACTCTCACTCCGGCAGCGGGGATGAAATTGAGTCCAATTTTAGAGTTTTTAGCTCACCTGAGGACGTCAGTGGTTCTGGAGAAGGTGGTGAAGATAGAAAGGGAAAAAGAAAGAAAGTCAGCGATGACAAAGAAGGTATAGCTGTAGGTGGAAAAGAAAGCGATGAGAAAAGTGATGGAAGGGAAGATGGAAGAAGCGATGATCTCCAGCTGTCTGTCAATCAAGATAAGCCTGTGGGAACACTGTTTGGCACCAGTGAAGAAAATGGCAATGGACTTGACGAAGAGGGTCAAAACAGAAGCCCTTTCAGTCAAGTTGTCGGGGGTAACTCTACTTTGGAGGACAAGAAAGAGGGAGATGATGATGGTAAAACAAATGGAGGTCTGGCGAGTGAGGAACCCATCGCAGGAGGTGGTAAAGAGGGTAGTGATGCAGCTGTAATTGGGGAGAGTAATTTGCAGCAGTTCTCAAGTGTGGACAGGTTGTTGTTTGATGCTGCAAGAAATCCCGTCTTGGGGCGTCTTGTCCCTCTGCTCAGACTGACAGATGGCACGGAGGAGCAAACAGAAGGTAAATGTTACTCACTGCTCAGCTTTTCCTCCGCTTTGCAATTTAGTTTTTCCCTCTCACATATATCTTTCCATGCACATAATTTGAAATGCTAACCTAAAGGTTGGTGGCGCTCTTTTGTTTTGTTTATTATGTCATGACAACACTGTTATTGCTGGTGAAAACATAAACCCTTAAAGCTGCAATAATCAATATCCTTAAGAAAGAACAGAGGATGAAAATGACTACGTATAATGTGAAAGGGATTAATCATAGTGGCAAACCCACAGAAATATGACCCAGTTCCCCTCAGCTTTATGAAGCATTTTAGCGTCTCTCAGCTCATAGTTTTGGTTTCTTTCTTTGCCTCTCCTCTCTCAGAAGGCAGCAACAGCAGCCACGAGTCTCGGGTCGGGCTGGTCGGAGGTGTGGAGAGGGAGAAGAGGACAGTTGTTCCGCTGGCTGTTGTCTCCACTCTCACCATCCTCTGTCTGCTGGTTCTAGTGGGCATACTCATCTACTGGAGGTACACACACACACACACACACACACACACACACACACACACACAATGTCAATTTCTACCTGCACTGTAAAAATGATCAAGGTAGTTCAGTTGTTGCCTTAAAAATGTGAAAGAAAAGAAAAGCTTAGTTTCAACTCATGATGTTACGTTAAGCAATTTGTTTAATTAAAGATCATTTATTGTTTGAATTTGATACTGTGAGTTAAAACAACTATATACTGTATATTGCATTGTCCATTCTAGGAAACTTTCTTTCTCTTGTCAAAGAAATCTATCTTCCGCGGCTCGCGATGTGCCAGGGCAGTTTGTTGCTGCGTCGAGCAATGAACTGCTTGGTGAGCTCCTGTGCACTCCAAAGTGAAAGCTGAATAGTTGGCAAACACTGCACTAATCACGTCCTTTCTGAACAAGCCTTAAGGCCGCCATCAGAAACCCTTTCCACTGCGGCACTAGTTTTGTTTTACCACAAAAGGGTCTATATTTTGGATGGAATTTGAATATATGACGTATCTGCAGTGTATAATTAGCAGGGATGAGCGAGTACAAACAACAAATTCAACAAATGACATTTTTCTGTATCCGTACTTGGAATGGGCGGGGCTTAGCCTAGAAGTGGGCAGGACTAACTGGAAGTTATTTAAGCCTGAAATTGGTGTGGGTTAATCAGAAGTTTCTTTACATATTACAAAACTATTTACTGAATAATAATTAGTTGATTATTTGTATGTTTCTCTCAAACTCAAATGTTGCAGCAACTAGGCAGTTTTTTTCTCTTGCTCCCATCCTCGCACACTCGCCTTTTTCTTACATTTTACAACTGATAACTTACATACGCAGGTTCAATCAACACGACAAAAGTCTCAAATAGTCAACACAATGAATTAATGCAAGTTTAACTTTCTAAAACTCATATAGTTGAGTCCAAAATCCAAAACTTGCTCGAGCTATTTGAGTTAAAAAGAAGAAGTAAGTTGAAATAACTAATGGGTCTATAATGTTTTACAGTGTGGAGCATTTTCACCTGTGTACCTCACAGTTTCTTTATTTGTTTGTGTTACAGAAACTGTTTCCAGGTGGCAAATTTCTACCCAGATGACAGTGCATCACCTAAAGTCATATCTGCTCCATCTACACCCTTGCTGCTGGCTTCAGGTAACACACACACTCACAAACACACACACACACATTCATAAAACATTATTACATAAACATGGTGATATCAAACAGTACTGGGCTGAAAATGTTAAGCAAACATTCACCCTTTGGTTTCCAGTGTTGGGCAGTAACGCGTTACTATAATAATATGACTTCTCCCAGTAACTAGTAGTGTAACTAATTACTTTTCTAAAACGGTAATATTATTACTAGTTACTAAGGCAAGTAACGCTGCGTTACACGTTACTGAACGCACCATCCTTGATGTAATCCACGACTGTGCGACAGCTCAGCTGGACCGGACTTTGTTGTTGATGGCCGCTGAAAGCCAAACTAAAGGAAGAATGTAGAACAAGGGAGAGAGGCGTTCTATCCACAGCTGTAAGAAGCTACTGCCATTATTATGTCACAGTCTAAGATGCAAAGAACATTGTTGTCTGGTGTAAGCTTTCAACCGGAAACATTTCTACATCTGATTTATTGAAGCATCAGCTGAAGCAACACAGCAACGTGAAACTTACAGGAAGAAACTTTGGCAGCTGCTGTCACTGATGCTGGACTTGTCAGGAGAGAGTGGCATTTACATACATTTTGTAACAACTGAATACTGCTCTTATAAATAGGCTACATGTGCAGTAAAACAGCTGTTTAAAAGTCGGGATTTACGTGCTTTATTTTTCGTGAAGAAACGTTAGGCCTAGGCATGCTTTGTAAAAACCACAGGTGTTGTAATGTTAGTTAAAAATCGGGGGAGACTTCTTTGTTTGGGGGGGAAGGGGGTGGTAGGGAAAGCAGTGTTTGCCATAATCAGCCTATAATTTGGATAATTATCAATGCGGACGGCCATATTGATTTCCCAAGTTTTTACTAGGCGTATTTAAAATAATTTTTTATTAAGGAGCTGTATTGAGGAGCGCATACTCGTGCAGCACCTCCTGGCTCGCTCTCTCTCTCTCTCTCTCTCTCTCTCTCTCTCTCTCTCTCTCTCTCTCTCGTGAACACCGCTGCACAAACCTGTCCAACGTTGTCTTTCTGTGGGAAAAACTGGAAAGTAATATAGTAACGTAACTAGTTACTTTTATCAATCAGTAATAAGTAAAGTAATAATATTACTTTTTTAAGAACTAGTAATATTTTCGGAGTAACTTACCCAACACTGTTGGTTTCAGACGGTCACGAGCCACTAACAGTGAAGCAGTTTGTGAGGCACGTCATGGAGCTGCACACCACCAACACCTTCTCCAAGGAGTTTGAGGTGCGTGGGATGTTCTAAATTAGAGTTTGTGAGTTGAACAAAATGTCTGTGGACTTCATGAGTGGAACAAATAGTTTATAGCGGTTGGAACATATAGAGCCACAAGAAAAATAACCCTCAGAATTTGCTTGCAAAGGTTGAACCAGCATAAAATAACTCTTAGTGTTCATTTAGTTTTGGTTCATGTGTATAAGTAGACAGTACCTCATTCGTCATAGCTCCTTAATGCTCTTCCATATCTCTATTAACATCATGTTCTTTAAGAATTGCAATTTAGCACAGTGGTAATGTTTACTGGTAACTACAATGCACAACATGATGTGGAAGGGTGTTTGGTACTAACCATGGCAGTGCTGCTTGATTCTCCAAATTCAAATACGCAATCCCATCAAGCTAAAACTACCTGTCGCAAGCTTTCAGACTGGTCAAACCTTCATCTCTGTTTGAGAGTGTCTTGTGGAGTATTAACATATCTTACTGTTAGGCATTTTAGAATAGCTTGTGGGTTAAATTGAACAATAGGTACATCTGCATGACATGAGTCACCTCTGTTTCCTAGCATGAACCTCCTGAGTAACACACAGAGATAGGATTAATTGCAGCAAACATCTCCCATGTACAAATTTGTGTTTTCCCCCATTTTGTTGCTTTGTTTTTGCCTTTTCTATAGCTGCAGCAACAAGCCTATATTTTACATTAATCTAATTTATATATTTTTTAAAAACAGGTGAAACTGAAGGAGCAGATCACAGCCTTAATTTGTAGATACACGCAAGCGTTTTAGGTCATTCCTTAATATGTCACAGTGTAGAATAATAGGACTTGGCTAACTTGGATGGAAGCTAAAAGTCCACAGCTCAGTTGGGAATGTCAGTGTATTTCCCACTTAACACTGCCTCTCAGTGTGTATCTGAACCCCATATTCCTGTACCTGCACTGACGCCCTGTCTGTCTGTCTGTCTGTCTGTCTGTCTGTCATCTTGCCTCCCCCCCACCCTCCTTTCACCACCTCCACCAACATCGTCGTGCTTTCTGCATCCCCACTACCCTCCATTAGATTGTCAAAGAATCCTATGAGGTAAGACACCTACAGTCTCAGCCCTCTCTATTTGCAGAGGTGTTACTTTCTTTTCCTTTTTCCTCAACTCTAGAAAAGTTTTGTCTAAAATGAAAGCTGCCCAGTAGTCCATTTGTGTACTGTCTCATCTGTTTTCAGATGTGATATGATATGTGAACTTATAATAAAGTTTATTTTTTCTTTGCCAGTAATGGATAGGCATTTTGTTATATGTGTGCAAATGAGAGTTTTAGTTATTAAGAACTGCCTGAGGCAGTGCTGCTGTTCTCTGCTTCTTCAGATTTCAGTTTGTATCGGAAGCTGACTACAGATATATTTTTAAAGCGAGATGGAGCCTTCTAAGTGGCATTTTACATATTTTGTTAATCCATATTTGACATTCTATTATTACATATTTATAATAATTTATGACAATGAAATCCCACCATCCTGGTGCAACTACCTTTCTAATAATTCTGCTTTTGTGAGACTGTTGTCCCACATCTTACTGAATATGAGGCTTTCAAAGAGGTCACACAGTAGCATCAGTCTTCTTCATAAAACAGCCTTAGCACATGTGTGCACTTACTGAACCAAAGGTTAATGTAACAATGTATTTTTTCTCCACATCAAAACTTTTTCTTAATTCTAGTTCATTCCACTTCATTCAGAAGCTGCTTATTGACTTGTTGCTTTGTCTTCACTGTAGACATTTAACCATTGTATGGTAATATTATAGAGAGCCACAGACTAATAAAAGATACAAATGAAAACCTACTTGTCCAGAAGAAAAATTCACATTTCATGTTAACTGTGTTAACCGGAGTGCCTGCAGTGCTGCCGCACTAAATAGCAGTTTTAGTTTACTTTGAGCAACTAACCCAAATCTTCTTTGTGTTTTCTATTGTTTTTCAGGAGGTGCAGGCGTGCACAGTGGACATGGGCATCACTACCGACAGCTCCAATCACCCAGACAACAAAAGCAAGAACAGATACATCAACATATTGGCCTGTACGTCTTTGTGAAGGATCACTGTTCAAAATTTATATGTAGTTGTTAAAAACAGCAGTAACAAAACTGGTGAACCTTTTCCTCTCCCAGACGACCACAGTAGAGTCAAGCTCTCCAGCAGTTTGGACAGAGATGGGAAATGTGGGGACTACATCAATGCCAACTTTGTGGATGTAAGTATGTTTTTGTCAGCCTCGGGTGTTAATAAGTAGACTGGCACAGCGGTGAAGACCAAACCACCTCAGCTGTTTCCAAGTCAAATCAAAACCAGAAACACGTTGTGTGTTAGGTGGGTCTTGTCTGCCGTTGTTAGAAATGCACTGTACATTGTGACTAAATAGTGGTTTCCTCTGCAGGGTTATGAGAGAACAAGGGCTTATATCGCAGCTCAAGGGCCTCTCAGAGCGGGCAGGGAAGACTTCTGGAGGATGATCTGGCAGCAGAATGTTGGAGTTATTGTCATGATCACCAACCTCAAGGAGAAAGGACGGGTAGGAGGTCACGCTGCTCCTGCATCAACCACAAGTCTTGCACAAACACCAGCTTCTCCATTGAGATCAGCAACATTTCATCTGATGTTATACATATACCTGGCAATTTGCATATTGATTGTTCTTTTCATCATCACATGTAGGTGTCAAGCTTGAGTTTCCTAATCTTGTGGTGCTTGTAGAGTTTGGACGTCTTGTTTTCTTGAGGTTTAATGCCTTCTACCTTCATGTTATCTAAAACAAGATGCTGAAATGTACTTTAAAGTGAATGTTATCTCCCATGAAGAGTCAATGCTGTCTGATCTATCAGTGGCAGCAAGCAAGCAGGAAGTGTCAGTTTTAGAATTACATTGTTTGGATAGAAGACTGCATCAAAACTAATTGTAGAGATCTGCCTACAAGCATTTGTCAAGCTGATATTAGAAACTGATTCTGTGGCCACTTTATAAAGTTGACAAGGCGAACGTGTTGGCAGACAGCAGCTTATTTGCACATCCAGCAAACACAGAGCAACCCTAGCACTCAGTTGGAGCTGTATACTATTTCTTGTAAATTCTAACATGCTGAAAAGAGTATAAATATATAATTTTTCCTTACAACTCAGGGGCAAAAGGACCTCTGGCACAGCTACCATCTGTACAAACTTGTTCGTTGTTCTCTCACACATCTCTATCGGTTATCTTATCTTGTTTTATCTTCGTCATCTCTCTACAGACAAAATGTGACCAGTACTGGCCAGAGGAGAACCAGGAGGAATACGGTCCATACCAGGTGACCCTGAAAAGTAGCAAGACCCTCGCTTACTACACACTGCGGACGTTCACTGTCAGAGATACCACATATAAGGTACTTCACACGCACTCTCCCTCTCTCTCTGTACACCAACAAACAAAGTGAGTTTGGGGTTCTATTCCAACTAGCTCTAAAAAATTAAAAACACTGGCTTTGTAAAACTCTTCAGATAAATGTATCCACACACATAATAACACCCTTTCTTGTCCTCCAGACATCTCAGAGGAAGGTTGAACACACAGTCCTCCATTACCACTACACCCAGTGGCCAGACATGGGCGTCCCAGAATACACTCTGCCTGTCCTGTCCTTCATCAGAGCATCCTCCCGGGCACGGACACAGGAGATGGGACCTGTACTGGTACACTGCAGGTAGACTCTGTGTGTGTGTGTGTGTGTGTGTGTGTGAGAGCTATTATTTCAGATATACCATGTACTGAATATGTTTTTGACATGTGATCTGTGGCACAGTGCCGGGTAGGAAGAACAGGAACCTACATAGTGATAGACAGCATGCTGCAGCAGATCCAGGATCAGGGGACGGTGAACGTTCTTGGTTTCCTAAAACATGTCCGGACGCAGAGGAACTTCCTGGTTCAGACGGAGGTAAGTAGACTGACAAAAAGACGCACACGTACACACCGACAGTGGTGTCCTCAATGTTAGAACAAACTGTTTCTCCTTCTGGTGTAGGAGCAGTACGTGTTTATCCATGATGCTCTGGTGGAGGCCATTTTGAGCCGCGACACCTCGGTGACATCGGACCTCCTCCACACTTACGTGTCTGACCTCCTGACCCCCGGGGCGTCAGGCAGGACACGCATGGACAAACAGTTCAAGGTATTGCATGTTGCCATTTTCCCCCCCGTGCTTTGTAAACCTATATTTTGTTCTCTCATTTGACCTTTCAGGCATTCAGCCAACACTCAAATTTTTATCATGCAGTGTACCCACTGAATGTTGCAAATGTAATCGACTGTTTTTGTTGGGTTTCAGTTGATCAGCCAGCGCCAGGCGAAGCACGCAGACTACAGCACTGCCCTGAGAGACGGCAATGCTGAGAGGAACAGAGCCAGAGCTCTGATGCCTGGTAAGCAGGCCTGGTTTACTAACTGCTTTGGGTCCCCAAACCCACAGAGAGCCCCCCAAAGTTCCCTGTGTGTCAATTTGTTTGTGGCAATTTATTGAATTGTAACTTTGTTTGGGGATATGCAGCTACTGAAGCACAACATCAGCTGACATGATGAGGGCCTGCTTTACAGTAGAACCTGAGTAGAAATCTACTTCATTCATTACAGCTGATATAGAGTTTACATTTTACATTTTCTCTGTTCTCTTTTTTCAGGTGTCATATTGCTGACTCATGTCTTTGTGTTTTTGTACAGTGGAAAGATCAAGAGTCTGTCTGACCGCTTCAGAAACAAATGTCACAGGGTACATCAATGCCTCCTACGTCATGGTAAGACATCTGGAAGTATATATAGATATATATTTTTTTACTGTTTTATTTATTAAAGGACACTTTAGCTTTTCTTTAATGCATCAGCAAAACATTTGCTAGAAGTTTTATGCTGCTCGTGTATTCACAGGGATATCACCACAGTAAGGAGTTTATAGTGAGCCAGACTCCTCTGAGCAGCACGGTGGCAGATTTCTGGAGAATGATCTGGGAACACAACACACACACTGTAGTCCGTCTGCCAGACACACACTTTCAGGTATAACGGGGACACACACACACACACACACACACACGTACTTTTAAACACACACTCTCACATGTTTTTCTGTTTTCCTTTTCAGAGTGAAGAGGGGGAGTCTTATGTTTACTGGCCCAGTAAAGACCAGCCAATGAGCTTTGAGGGGTTCACTGTCTCGTACTCGGGGGAGGAGCATGTCTGTCTTTCCAATGACGAGAGACTTTTAGTGCAGGACTTCACATTGGAGTCTCCACTGGTAACACACACATACTCACACATAGTATACTGCATGTTGTACTGTGTATATACTATATATATGTATATATACATATACACATAGATAAACAATCTTAACCTCTCCTTTCTGTCTAGAACAATTATGTTTTGGAGGTGTGTCAGTACAGCGCCACCTGCTGGCCCAACCCAGACAGTCCCATCAGGAACAGTTTTGATCTGGTCAACACAGTCAGAGAGCACAGCAGACATTCAGATGGACCTACAGTCATACATGATCCGTGAGTACAACATAGACAGGGTCACTCATTGATTTGACATTTTTGTTACTTTATTTGTAGGGGTAAATCTGTGTCTGTGTGTAGGTTGGGAGGCGCTACATCAGGGCTCTTCTGTGCCCTTACCACGCTTTCCAGTCTGCTAGAGGAGGAGGGAGCTGTAGACGTCTACCAGGTGGCACGAATGACTAACCTCATGAGGCCTGGTGTTTTTAATGATATAGTAAGCACACACACACACACACAATAATGTAATTGTACCTCAGAAATTTACTAGAAAGACATTCCTCAACATCATTTATAAAGAAAGTAGCTGGTAAGGGGTATTTCTATAATAAAATATCGTTCAGAATGTGTTTTACCCCCCACAGGAGCAGTACCAGTATCTGTACCGCGCTGTGCTGAGTCTGGTGAGCAGCCAGGAAGACCAGAGAGCCCTGCAGAGTCCAGAAACCAATGGATCTGTACCACTGGGACAAACTAACATCGCTGAGAGCCTGGAGTCACTCATGTAGACACACACACACACACACACACACACACACACACACACACACACACACACACACACACACCAGTGTAGACTGAGGTTCTGCCCATCATGTGATGAGAGGATGAACACAATCATTTCTGTGTCTGTGGTTCATAGCTGCGTCCACTGTGCATGCTAATGCTTTAAGGTACACTATGCTCAACAATCATTATTCAAATTACAGAAATAAAACCCAAGAACACAGTATAGTCCAGTAAAACGTCAAGTAATCCAAAACAGCACTTTAGCTGTCTGATACACAGTGACTACACCTGAAGGCTTTTTGCCATTCACAGGTTGCTGTTTTTTTATTAAAAAACAGGTGGCCACTAAACAGGACTGGCAGGTTTAGACAAGCCATTTAAATAACCTTGATGTTTCATACTGTCAGTGTTAGCATGCGCAGCAGGCTAAGCTGCAAAATCTGCTGGACACAGAGCGTTTTTCATTTCATGTAAAGTAACCAAACATCTATGATATGACTCATCCTTTGAAAGAGAAAAGGCAACACTTTTTAAAAAGGAGTCCTATTTTGGGGGTAACTAATGGCTGTATTAATGGCTAATAAATCATTTGCAAATACTTTATAGATCAGTTATAATTCTTTAAATAAACTATGTTTGTGTTGCCAGGTTGCAGTTATTTCTGGAAAAGGACTGCAGAAGAAATGGATCAATATCCATTTAGTAACATCGTATTAAAAACTGCAGACTTGCTGATTAAACCCTTTGTTAATGGCTTGTTAACGTTTTAACTACATACTTTATTAGAAAGTGACTGTTTTTACAGTGTAGAAAGAACAAACACCAGCCAATTGCATTTTTTGGCAACCCAATAACGGATCTATAAAGCATTAGTAAATAATGTATTACCCATTAATAAAGTCATTATTTACAATTGAGAAGTCATTTTATAACCATTTCTCTGCTTTTCCAACAAGAACCTGCAAACCTTCCAGCTGTGTATCTGTTGCTGGTCAGCCTGGAGCCTAATGCAGCAGACAGCCAGTAACCTTTTGTTGGCTTTCACTAAAAACTGAATGAAATAAACAAATAAAATTTAAAAAAAAACATCAAAAAAGAAGTTCTACCTAAAATGTAATTGGAAATATTGAGAAATTGGAAAAATAAGATTTTTCAATGTGATAGAAGGAGTGAGCTATTTGATTCCAATAACACATCTACCTTAAATTCATAACTTGTCTATTTCTTTCTTTAACATTTCTTTCTCTTATTTGTCGCTTCTTTCATTTGACCCTTTTTATTGTTACTTTTTGCTTTTTTTCATTGCTCATGTAAAACACCTTTCCTCAAAAAAATTTAAATAACTATCAATAAAATGTTAAACTGGCGAAACAAACAAAATTAAAGCAAGATTTATGAAAAATACAGTTGAAAGTAGAAGTAGCTTTCAATGTTAAAAAAAGGGGAAATGATGCAGGAAAAGACATTACCCTAAACCCTTGTTTTTCCTACCTAATATTTTATGCACTGCACATTAACCAGCAGATTGTGGGGCTCAAACTACCGTGTATCCTTATCTAGAGTAATGTTTTGAATAACCAAAATCTCTTAAGGCTTCACTAGTGACAGTAAAATGACTGCGGGTGTTTACTGCTGTTGAATGTCTCTGTTCATGTCCTGTCTGACATCATGGTCTCTGGTACCTTGTGCCTTTTGTAATTCATGTTATTGTACTTTAAACCGCTTTTGATACAACAACTGTGTGACTAATATGCCAAAATAATGACCTGTGACTTTTTTGCATCTTCGCTCGTTACTTTGGTGTGTAAAATCCGAGAGGAGAGGGGAAAAATGGCATTGGGCTCAGATGTAAAAGATGTAATCTAGGATTTAAAATGATATTCCACACAAACACACGCGTGACAGGTGGCTGTAAAAAGTTTGAATCTGTGTGAGTTAACAATGGACTCCAATGATAACGTGTCTTCAGAATATAGAAAAACATATATCAAAACATCTCTAACCACTCCTGCGACAGAATAATCAATCACTATAATCAGCTGTAAGAAAATCATGACATCATTCAGCTGAGACAGTGGTCACATTGTTTAGACAATGACACAAATTGGTGGACTTCTGTTAAACCTTACTGGCACGGACTGAAAATGAGAGCTGAGACTGTGGATCCACGCAGGTCTTCTGCCTCCCTGTGCCACTTGCTGTGACTGTTTTTATTTTTGAGGGAGGGCGTCAGACACGATCAATCAACCTCTCAATCACTTGTAACATTGCAGCTTCTGTCTGTGCCACTGTTCCACTTTGTGCCATTTGTTTAGCTCACGTGGGGATGCAAAATGGCACAAATCGTTTAGAGGCTCCTGCAACTGAACCAGACAGTGATTTGAACCAGATCTAACTGTAATGTGTCTTTCTGTTTAAATATCCCTGAATACATCAAAAGGCCAAATTACTGTATGTTTATACTGTACCTCTATATATTTTCTATTTTACTATAAGAAAAAAAGTGATTTTCTAGTCATTTACACATATATAACTGTGTGGATTCTATTTGATAATTTTAGCCTGGAAATATTGATCATGTTTATAGTTTTAATGGAATGTTATCTCTTTTTATCTTTATGATTACAGTAGCATCTTAATGTCTATACCCGTTTCTCCAGCCATAAACTGGTGCAGTCTGTATATAGCAACATGTTGAAGCAACATGATTTAAGATTTTTTTCAAACCTTGTGTATGATTTAAATAATTAAAATAAAATGTTCTACTCTCAAACGTTTCCCTTACTTTTCTTAAACAGTCTCAAACATTCAAAGACACAGGACAAATAGGTTTATTGAGTTATCATGCTTTTATTCATACTATAATACACTATATTGCATTGTCTCCCCTGATCGACCTGTACATGACATGATGGTAACGATACACAAAAGATAAATAATCAATGCACAACCATGAACGGTTACCAAAGATTAAGTCAAAACCAAAAATATAGATTTCTATAGAATCACATTAATATTTGCCATACACATTATACTGTAGCAGTCACATAAGATAAAGTGTATATAGTGCGTTAAGAATAAACCTCGTTACGCAGTGAGATTATTAGTTAATTTTTTTTTACTGTTTCTGTAAACATGTCAAGTTTCTCAAGCATTTAAACCCTAAGCAGATCCCCATCCTGCCGTTCTCTCTGCATCGATATAACTCTGTGAAGGTAAGTACAAGCGCATTCATTCAATCACTTGCTTCTAAAGCCTCACACACCTGGGCTCCCACACCCCTGTCAGTTTCCTAATGATGTTTGTTATGTTTGCAGTGGGTGTGTTTACATGCGCTCTGTACTGGAGTTAATATCACATTACATAGGCTGGGTTTTTATTTAGGATATTTACACAATTTATTGTGTCCTATGTGCCCTAATCTGTCTCTTCCCATCCTATCTGTCAAAAATAGGTTAGTTTTACGAGTGTCTGCCTTATGGAGGCTAGAAATGGTTTTATAATCTTTTCCTGCTTTTGAAATAAAGTAAAGCCATCAAAACACACGAGGGGAGATAAACCACAGGGGGTGGGGCCAAACAACTACAGTTGTATATGATTTTATAGAGGAACAAGACAAACACTGAAAATCTCATTTTATAATTTGTGGAAGCTAACTTTCTCCGGAAACTTCTTGAGTAACATGAACCCTCATCAACCCTCACCAGTAATGTTTCTTTGATTATACACACACATATTGTACTTGATAAGACACAAGGAATCCTATTATGGCACATTAAAATGTTAGAATCAAAAGCAAATACATATGAATTCCTACACTGAGTATCTTTTCAGTTGCCCCCTACAACTGCTGGGGTTCCAGTGTCTTGCTAAAGAACACTTCAGCAGTGTAGATGATGGCAGACAAATCCAAATCAAGTCCTTGTGTCAGTCTTCAGTAACATACGCTACGCAATTTTATATCCTTTGTGAAATACGTATTAATCACAGTAAATTCTCAAATGAAAGCAAAAAAAACAAAAGACCAAGGAAAAATGCTATTACTACAATGGCTGTCAGAAAATTTAGCTTAATAAAACCACAGCATTAATTCCATCAGCACAATGTGTATTTCATTGTGCTTCCTCAAGCAACTGTCGGGGAAACTCATCACTTAGCTCACTCAAAATAAAAGCTATCCAGAGTGAAGTGAAGGGAGTGTGTCTCCTGAACTGCTGGAAATGCTTCGAATGTTTAGATATAAAGGCCTCTCACTAAAAAAATTTGGTTAAAAAGTTGAGGTAAATAAAACCTCCGGGCCACTACTTGTGAATTTATGGTCTACATTTGTTTAGTAACTAATTATTACATGATAAATGACACAAAAGCAAAGTTAAAATATATAGTCTTGTGCAAATGCAAGTAATACAGGCAAGAAAATACTTTGTATATATCTTTACATATATCACTTTGGGAAAATAGCTACATTCTCTACCTAAAATGCTACAGCACCACAACCTCCACCTGTTTCAAGCATATGAAGAGAAACTGAAAATAATCTGAATCTCGCTCTCTCTCTTTTTGTTTTGTCATATTCCTGTAAAATCAGTCATGAAGATGAACTCCAGTCATAGATAAAACCCAGCTGATCTGCTTTATAATTTAGTTTGGAAAGAGCGTCCTCTCAGGAGGGAGACGTGGCGGTGCTCTGTAGCGTTAAAATGTGGTGTTCTATTAACAGGTAGTGATTTATACCACTTTAAAATGTTACATCCAGCCCCTTCCATAAGCGAGAGAAAGGGAAGTGACTTGTTTTAAAGCAGCTCAAACTGTCTACAAAAAGTAGACGCTACTGCTATTTTGTTAACAAAATATAATGAAGCATATTATTACACATCATAACTCCATAACCCTGTGTGTACTCCGACAGGCTGTGCTCATTGTTCCCTCTTCTTGTCTGCAGCCCTAATTTCCCTGACAACCCTGTTGGACACAGAGGAGAAATTAGACTTTAGAATTCAGCTGTGTTTGTGTGTGTGTGTGTGTGTGCGCGCGCCCTTACAGAGTTGGCTCGTTTGCGTTTCCAGCAGTCTGGGTTGAGTCTTTTCTGTTCGTCTGCGAGGGCTTTGGCCTGCACCGTGAACACCCGCCGCTCCTCACTTCGCATTTTCTTCCACCGCTCACCAAGGAGGACGCTGATCGCTCTGAAACACACACACACATTACCTTCGAATCAACATTTGAGAAACGCCGCTGCTTCACAACACACATTTAGACACAGAGCACGCCCACCTGTTGTCCTTGCCTGGGTACATCTGTGTGTACTCCACCCTGAACTTCTTGGCGAACAGCATGAAGGCGTTCATTGGCCGCTTGCACTTGATTGGCGTGGCGTTGCTGCTTCCTGCTGTGCTGGCATGCTGGCTTTTGGTTGGCTTTTGGCGAGGAGAGTGGGAGGGGCCTGGACTGTGGTCGTCTGCAGGTTTAAACAGATCCACAGTTGACAGGTTTGTTTTCTTCCTCTTTTCTGAAACACATCCTTAACCTTGCCTGAGTGTTTATTGATGTATTTTGCAAACCGAACGCTGGCTGGTCTTAATGTTTCTGCTTATTCACACAGTCGGCTCTCTTAAAATTTAGAAGATTTGAAGAACAGCACCTTGTAATGTGTCTCTGTCTGGAGAAACTGCTTCCCCGCTGGACCTGGAGGCACGTCGCTGTCTGGCCATACTGCTCAACACGTAAACCGCAGAGGAGTCCAGAGGAGTGAAATCGTAACTGAGGAGGACAGACATAACAAAAGGCTTTTCTATTTGCTGATGGGCTTTCTGTTGCTTTAGGTTTAGGACAGCACTCAGCATTAATATTAAATCATTTTCAGTTAAAAATATGTGGATATTTACAAGTTGCAAAGTTTAATGGAGCATTATACTGTAAGCGCCTATTTTACCTCCTGAATGTGTCAAAGACCAGTGAGTCGTCGGTGTGTTTGGCATCTCTGTGCCCTGGAGGAAGGCACACACCTCCCACCTCCATTTCATAGCACGGTATTCCATGATGCACCACGGTCAAGCTCGGATAAAATGACGACCACCCTAACGGAAAGTAAGACTGAGTGTAAAGAAGTCAGTTTCATGTTTTTCACAGTTAGTGTTTTCTCAGTATCGCCCCTACCTTTGTTTTTGACGTAGAAGGGGTGATCAAGTTGGCACCGGGCGGTCATGGGGGCATGTCCGAATGCCCCGGGGTCGAAGGTCAGCTGTAGGACAGCGTGGCCAGACAGCACGATCTCTGAATGCTCCACCAGCTGCAGACCCTCAGAGCCATAACTCTGCAAAAGAGCAATCAGTGTTTTTACTAATTATGTACGGTTACTTTATTTTGGTGGATCGTTGCTCATTTTTGCACACAGACTATATATTTTCATTCTCCACCATTGGCAGAAAAATGACGTGCCTTCTACTCAAATGTTACAGATTGCAGCTGTTAAAAATACATTAACACTGAACTGAACAGAGTCCACATAGCACTAAAGAAGGAAAATCAAATCAATAAGTCTAAGTGAAGCCACAAGCTTCTTGCACAATGTACCATTACATCACCAGAGTCTTCCTCAGCAGAGTCCAGGTCCTCCACGTCCTGCCATTCCACATTAGAGCCACTGTGGAAACGCAGATGAGTGCCTGATGACAGAGAAGAGCTGCTCTGAGATAAAAATAATGGCCTCAAATTAAATCTCACAGAGAAGCCTTCTGATTGATTCACCTAGTCACACTCAGCGTGTGCATGTGTCTACCTTTGAGAAAACAGTGCCAGGCGGTGGGTGGCCAGGAGACGCTCCAGCCCATGTCTTCATCATCGACAGAGAGGATCTGGTCGACACTGCAGAGCCACATTCGCTGCTCTTCTGTGGAAGCATGAAGCGGTAGCATTATATCATTACTCAACATTATATTATGATAAACAGCTGCCCATAGAGCCAAGAGCTGTATGTTTGCACTCTAAACAAACACTGCAGCAGCTCATAGCTTTCTCTGGCACATGGCTTGGAGGTTCGTTTTGGTATGTAAAAGACAATAAATGACACTCAAATTTAAAAAAAGGAGTTCAAAACTCTTTTGAATTGATCTTCAGATACCATGTTCACATGAGTGACAGTGAGTGATGATAAAGCAAAGAGTGGAAGCAGGTAAACATGAGCTCTACCCTGCTGCGCCGACACTCCCGGCCATGACCTCTGGGGGGCGACAAGGTGCTGCTGGAGAGAGGAGGAGGAGGAAGCCGAGCGTAGGAATGTAGATTACTGCTGGCGCTGGAGAGGCAGACCGAAGAGGAGCTGGAAATGACACAGGATTGTAAGTGGCTCCTACTGCCAACAACACAGACAATCCCCTAACTTGTAGAAGCAAATGTAGGACAGAATGATACTTTTGTAGGTCAATATGGCACAAGTGGTGTTACTGTAAAATTAAAGCTTACAGAATATCTTAATTCTCCTTAATGTTCATGTTGGTGTTGTGTCAGACAGTCACTTTGGTGCAGCGCTGCATTTTATGTTGTTCTTGTGAATATTGATTCTAATTTTGGTATGCTTAAAAGCAAGGTCATAGCTACCACTGAGAAGGTCATCTCCCTCAGTATTGTCTCAGGAACTTTCAGGTTTTTAACAGTCTGAGGATTAGTTTACATTCTGCAATTACATACAAATGGCATATTTTAAGCCTTATTCTGAGTCTAAATTCTTACATTTGACTGTCATAGGCCCAAAACATTGTGTAGCAATAAAGCT